CGTACTTTAGCAACAATCTGTCAATTGTGGAATCCAGCTCAGGATTAGCTAATCACGCTGTCATGTGTAGAATTGACCTCAAAGTTAACTAATTACATGATCCAGTCTGATACTGTGATCTTAGTACTTAGTCTGCTTTTGCGCAAGCACCTCTTATCAGTTGAGCAGCTCTCAAGTCTTTCAGACCCTTCTTCTAAACAGGTTTTTTGTGTTACTGTTTGAAGAAAAGACTTTATACACTTTGTGTAGAAAAATTAGGAAATTCCTGGATTCCTGTAAGTTGTAAGTTATTTTTAAGTTACTGTAAGTTATTTATGAGCCTGATTCTTTGAAAGACAACACATATAAACCTGTCACATTTTGTCTTTATTATTCATCAAGTGAACCTGTACATACTGACAGGAGAATCATGGTATTGTCCTTTTAAGTTCTCACTTTTTTTATTTTTGTAAGATAATAAGGAAACGGTTGTTAGGAGGTAAAAAGCAGTTTTGGAAATATGTAGAAATGTTCTGGTTCTGGTGATGGCTTTTCACTTTTTTGACATTAGCATGTGGGCATGAGTGAGGACTTAAGGAATAAATAAAATGGCAAAGCGTGTTCCTCTTCTCCCTTAATTGTTGCTATTTTCCAGAGACTGGGGTGTTTCGGATTCTAATCATATTATAACCATACTGTATTACATATATGTCAGTAGGAGTTAAAGTTATAACATTTTCAGATGGATTAACTTTTAACAATTCCAATCCTATTCCGGTATCTTCTGTTTTGTTTGGTTAATTTAATTGGAATTATGATTAGGGTAAAGGGCTTTTTGATTTTTTTTGCCTTTCTTGAAATCCAAGGGGGATAGTGTCTATATGGATTGTTTGGGGTGTTTCATTCTGTTTGGAATGCTTGCACGGTTGAATACTTTAAATGTAAGCTTTCTTCTGCATTACTGTGGAAGGTTTGCTGATGGCAGAATGTTTTTGAATTATTCCAATAAGAAGTTTAACTTCTTAAAACAGTTTTTAAAACCTTGGTCTAAATATACTGAGAGTGTGAAGCAACTAATGCTGTTGTTCCAAAAAACTCATTTTGTTGTGTTTTAAAGTCTCTTGGTGTGGACATACAGTATTTAGGCAAAATATGGCATCCGAAAAGAGAAATATTTTTTTGTTGTAGTAATAGTATTGGTTTCTTTTATGTTCATTTTCGATTTTAATTAAAAAAGGGTTTATTAAGACTGGTTGACTAAAATGGAAAATTTCAGTTTCCATCACACACCTGTGAGAGCCCCATAGAGGCAGTAAATTAAATAGACTTTTCCGACAGGAACAACAGGAGGGAATGGGTTAAGTAACAGATTCTGTATGGCTCCCATGTCATGAGTTCTACTTCAAACACCTGGGTGATTGATCCTTAAAACCTGCCTGTTACAAAGACAGATGTAACACTGTAAAACATTTTAAATGGGAGAGGACACTTCACTACACGTAGTTTCAATGTCTTGGAGTATTGAGATGTTTTTGGTTGAAAGTCTGAATTTGCTTTGTGTTTCTTCAAAGAAGTGACTGTTTTTTTCTGGGTTGTATATGGGCTTATGTAAAGGCAATATCAAAGGTAGTGTATGTATTTCTAGCCTTTGTAGCTTCAGTAAAGGGACTCTAATCTTTATAGTAAAGCATTAGTACAGTACTTTACCACAGAGAAAAGTACTCATGTCTCTCCTTTGTAAATGTGGCACAAAGCTTCAAAGAACAATTAAAAGGATTAGTTTTTGTTTATTTGGTTCACTACTGGGGTCTTTCAGAAGTATATGAATACAATAGATGTCTAAAGCCTTATCAATTAAATTTAATTTTCATACAGTTTAAATTAATACATCTGATACATGTGCTCATTAAACAACTGTAAGCTCTTCATCTCTTTCGCTGGAAGGTCAGGTCCTGTTATGGCAATACCTTTGCTCCTTCTTGTGCTCTGTCATATAATCTGATCAGTTATGTTAGAAAGGGTTTCATTGCCTCCTGTTCACTGAATAACAAGTTCACTGAATTTTGATGTAAAACCTTTGCAGTTTTGTAAGTATAACAGATTTGTGTTGCAATTTTAAGCTTTAATATGACTAAATCTCTAATAAAGCATACTGGCTGAACTTCTGTTATTGTTTGTTTTGGCCCAAGATGTGTCCATTGGTATTGATACCAGATCTTTGTGTTTGCATGGCAGTTTCTCAGCACAACACAAATTCTATGTCAGATTTGAATCCTTTCATGGCTCTAAAAAAACAGTTTTGTAGTTTGTAGTACTGTGTGAAGACCTACATAATTTATGTACTGTGTAATGGTCTTGGATTAATAATTTGTATTGTTGTTTGGGGGTAATTAAAAATGACTTTAATCAAAATTGTTTTCAGGACTCTTACTATAGTCAATATTTAAACATCAAACAATTTCCTCTTAATAAATAATTAACATACAGAATCTGGTTAAATTGAATTTACTAGAGTACATAATAGTGATATGTTGAGATAAGTCATGCTTCTCTACAGTTTTTATGCAAAGCTTTTAGGTAATGTTTTTTGCAAACAAATTAAAATTCTGAATCTTTCAGGTCTAGATTTGATCATCCTCGTTTCAAAATTAGAGATAACATTTTAATCTATGGATTGTTACTGTTCCAGATGTTTTCTCCTTTATGGTAAAATAGTTGCAAGACTGACCTACAGTGAACTCTGGAATTATTGGCACCACTTGACAAATATGAATAAAAAAAAGAAGTATAAAGCAAATAATATTTCCAACATAATTAATTAATTATCCTAAATTAATGATTCGAATCAAACATGACAAAAAAAACTATTACATTATAAATTATTTTTCTCAAAATAAAAGAAACACAATTATTGGCACCCCTGTTTTTAGTACTTGGTGGAGCCTCCCTTGGCAAGGATAATGACAGTAAGTATTTTCCTGTAATGCTTTATCAGATTGTTGAACACATTTGGATGGATCCTAGACCATCCCTACATGCAGAACCTTCCCAGATCCGTGAGGTTTGTAGGTGTGCGCTTATGGACAGCCCTTTTCAGCTCAGACCACAGATTTCAGATTTCAATAGGGTTCAAGTCAGGAGACCGAGATGGCCATGGCAAAACACTGATTGTCTTTTATGCCAGCCATTTCTTTGTTGATTTTAAAGTCTTTTGGATCATTGTTGAAAGATCCATCATCGGCCAAGACGCAGCCTCCTGGCAGAGGTAACCAGGTTTTTGTCCAAAATATCCTGGTACTTTTGAGAATTCATGATGCAATGGAATTGATCTTAACAAGGGCTCCTTGGACCACTGGCTGCAAAGCAACCCAGAACATCAAACATCGCCCATTGAATTTTACAGTAGGTATGATGTTCTTTTCGGTATACAGTATGCATCCCTATTCTTACGCCAAACATACCCATGATGTTCAATTTTGGTCTCATCTGACTGCAGCACCCTCTCCCAGTCAAAGTGCCAATAGTGTTTGGCAAACACCAGGCACTTCAATTTGTTCTTCTGCAACAGTAGGGGCTTTCTTCTAGCAACTCTTCTAAATATTTTGTTGGCATTAAGGTGTCGTCGAATAGTCGTTTTGGAGAAGATGATGCAATCAATCCTTGTATTCCTTTAACTGAAACCTTTGGATTTTTCTCTGCCACCCTCACCATCCTTCTCACTGTACGTGGGGACAAGATGGGCTTGCATCCTCTTCCTTTTTAATTTATTGCTCTGACTCGATATCCGTATTTCTAAGGTTTTACTTATTTTTTGTACCCATTATTTACTTTGTGAAGATGAACAACGGTTTGCCTCATTTCTGTTGTTAGTTCTTTGGCATTCCCCCTGCTGATGGATGACAAAAGGTTTTTTTTTGCATATTTCGTCATTTTTATACCCTAAAGAACTAGGAAGTCAACAGTACAAATACAGACATTATTTCTTTAAGGCAAAATTGAACTAAAAAAAGTATAAATATATTATTTTTTGTGTTAGATTGTATTTGAAGGGTGCACCTATGTTCTTCAAGTAAAATGACATTACTTGTTTACAATTGAACCTTAAAAATGAAAAAAAGAAAAAAAGTATTCCCCAAACATGTGAATGTTAAATCCCTGTCCTTATCCTGTGGTTTATTTTATTATGACTTTTCTTCATATTTATCAAGGGGTGCCAATAATTCCTGAGTCCACAGTATTATCTTACGGAACTGCCTGCATTTCTATTCAACAGCTCTGGAGTTCTTCACCCCAAGCCTGTCTTTTCTCACTGTTATATCTACCGAGCCTTTTCTGTTTCCAAATCCAAAGAATCATTGTGAGAACTACTCATGCTTCCTTAAGTATCATAGTGCCTTGCCGATGGGTCCATATATACCCAGAACTTTTACACTGGAGTTTTCCTGTTTCCCACAAACTCTATAGCTGGCAGCAACAATGATCTAATTGTGTATTCTGGTTTGTGGGGCTACAGTAGCATGTATTAAAAAAACACACACAACTGAAGGAAATGTCTCAGTTTGGTAGAATAATCACTGTATGTCTGTGTGATCTCTAATAAGCAGGGAGGAGAGGATTGAAGTGTAATGCTGAAAACTATGTAAAATGCTGAAAAAAGACTTTTGAGACCCAATTGTTTGTTCTTTGCTTTTTTTATAGGGAGAGTCTGTTGCAGAGAATCTCCATTAACCTCTACTAACATTCATTTCACCTTAACCTTCACCATCTATTCATTTAGCTTTACTCTAAAATCAGAATAAACTTGAATGAATAAAACATTGACATCACAAGCTGCTTTGGGATTTGTCAATGTTCAATTTGGTAGATTGACTTTGACTAGAAGGACTTTTTCCATTCTCCATTTTCATTGCTTTGCCACCTTTATGACTATCAGAGTTATGAATCTGCACAGTGTCTCTCTAGCATCTAAATGTGGTAAACCACTGACATACAAAGTGTGTATTTTTTATTGTTTTGTCCAGGGGTCCTGAAGATACATGCTTTGAAGGAGGTGTTTTTCCAGCCATCCTGAGCTTTCCATCTGATTACCCTCTCAGTCCTCCGAAGATGAGATTTACCTGTGAAATGTTTCATCCTAACAGTAAGCAATTCCTGTACTCCTCATTGTCACAATTAAAAACTTTGTATATGTTTGTATATTAGCTATCAAATAAAGAACAATCACACTGTAGATCTGTGACATGAAGCATTGATGCAGCTGTGTTTTTCTAGGAGGAGATTAATGGAGGCTAAGAGGCCACATGTATCAGTAGTCAGGTTCAAGTGGGAATTACTATTTAACACCATTGTCCAATCAGTTATGATCAACAAATGAAGCCTCTGAAGCATAAAGAATTTCTTTTTTCTCTTGCCAGGTGAATATGTTTTAGTGTAGATTACTGTGTACAAATGCTTATTCTATGTCTTCAAAGCTCATTCCAACTCCTTTCCAGATTACCACAGTCTGAATAGTTTATTTATGCAGCTACATATAATAGCTTGTACCCCCCGACAGTAATTGAGTAATGCACAATAAAAATGCAGAAAAACAAGCCCTATGCCATTCATGCCTATTCAATGCTTTTGCTTGCCTTTAGGTTTGATAAGGGCACCAAAATGATTTTCATGTAAGGATTACTTCTGGCAGTGAATAATTTCTTGCACGCATTTCCAGTCCTAATCCCTCTCTGATGCCATCTAATTGTTGAAAATAGCAACAATGCATTATTTCCACAGGGATGAAAGATTGCTTTCATGATTATAGGAAAATTATTGAAAAGCCCACATCAAGACCTTTATAGGATATTGACACACATTAAAGCTGCAGGTAATGATAGAGGTAGCAAGCACATTCCAAACTTTGCAACTTTTTTTCTTTATCCTAATGATGGTGCTATTTGATATGTGCTGGTGGTAATTACAGTATCACTCTTGTGCAACTTGTGCTCAGTCTTCAATTTATCAGTCCTCGTGTTTTGAAACCTGTATTTGACCATCTACAAAGGGTTGTGAACCAACCTCGAAACATGCCATCCAGTACTCTACTAAAACTGCTCTAGGTGCATTTGTACGAGTGCCTAAATTCTGGTAGGCACTCCATCATTAATCTTCTCAGCATGTGCTGACATTTGAAAAAGACTTGTTTCAACATACTCTGTCTTGTTCTTAAAGTTAAATATAATATTCTCTCACCTGAGGAAAAATATTGTGCTGAAGTATATTAATTTGGATTTTTTTTGTATCTTCCATACTGAAGTTTAATTTCTGGATAGTTGTAGAAATGTATGCTATTTAGCTTAAGGTCTCTTAAAATCATAATTAATATACTGTATGTCATGAATGATGGCATGATAAACTTGGTTTAATATGGTTCTACATTGGAATAAGCTTTAAATGTTAAAGAAATGTAGATCGAAATTGTTAAAAATAGTTACCAGTAGCATTTCAGTGTCCTACTGAATAGGTGAAGGTCAGTACAAAGAGCACGTTTCAAACGCTTTTGTAAGTTACGGACATAAATTGGCTAAATGCTAGATAGAACTAAATGTTTGGGTATTTTGACAGGAAAGAGAGGTCAGACTTTTGAAAAAGAGAACTTAAGTGTCCCTGGAGTGGGAAAGGTGTGAAAAGTCTTGGATCTCTATGTGGACAGGATTTTATTTTAGGCTCAAAAAACATTTTTTAAACCTCTTAAAATGTGAAAATAAACCAATGGTACTACAGTACTATTAGCACTACAATTAATGTCTCTTTAGGTGTTTAAGTCTCATGGAAGTTATATCAGTTTTCAGTCTTTCTAGAACACTTTTAAAAGTCTTTTGAAGTTCTTTTGTAGTATGTAACAGAAATCAATGTAGTTTAAATTCTATGTGTATGTATAAACCAGAGGTATGCAGTCCTAGTCCTGTAGGGCCCATGTATCTGCAGGTTTTCAAGGTCTCTTTAAAGTAGTACCTGAAGCTGGGAGATGTTAAATTGGTCCTACTGACCTACTGACTAAACAGGATCAATTTATGCTGTAAATTGAAATGAAACTCCACAGACACTAACTCTGCAAGACCAGGATTAGACACTTTATCAAAAGTAACATTTATCTTGAAATCAGTGTTGCTTTGATTACAGATTAAGTTAAAATTTAATTTTAGTTTTGTTTTTGGGGAACATACTACTTCAGTAAACATACATTTTTGAAAGTAAACCCATTTCAGTAAAAGCTTAAGATTTTTGCTTTGTCTAAGTTTCAAAGTGATACAGAAGACTATTTGTTTTAAATGGTAGGTGAATAGCCTTTTATTTGTCCTAAACAACCAGCATGTACAATTTGAAGACTATTGTAGATTGCTGATCTTAAGTCAGGAAAGTTTTGGTTGATAAGAAGTCCCTCTGATTAAAGGCACTGGTATCTTTTTTTTCACTGCTTTTTTTTCTTTTTATGTCCTTCTGCATTCATGCTACCTGTGCTGCATGGGTAACTGGTTGGATGTTCACTGTAAGCTTTCATGAAAAGCAGCACCTTCCTCTAGGGCCTCTGAAAGGAGTATGTCGCAAGGCATTAATTTAAAGCAAAATGCATTTAAACTTGTTGTCCTTCTCAGTGAATGGAATTCTTAGTGGTAGTAGGTGGAGTTCAGTAGCATAGGTGCAGACTGGAGTTAATTGTTAGGTGTCTAGATGAATAAAGAGAATACCGCGGTACAATTAATTTTGTTGCCTTTACCTTGTAGTGTTTTGGCCCAGATCCAGTTATCATTCTGTGAGAAAATCTTTATATATGACAAGATGACACATTTTACATGTTTCCTGCCTATTTCAGTGTTGTGTTATTACACTGCATAAGATGATTGCCATAGGAAACTACTACATAAACTTTCTTGACATAATGCCTACACAAAATAAAAATGAAAATCAAGGGTCTAAAAAATCTTAATCCTTTAACTGAGAAGCAGCTTGTGAAATTGATTTCCTATAGCCACCCACTAAACATGCCTGAGCAATGTGTGCTGTATTCAGTAATAATGGCACTCGATTATACAGATTCTGTCATTTAGTTCTTGAGATGACAGTGCCTCACATATGGGATATGGTGCATTGTTTCATTATGCATCAAATGGGTTTGAGTATTTCACCATTTTTTAATTCCAAGCAAAATCTTTTTGATTGTGAATATTAAACTTCTCCCTTAGTAATGATGAAGCTTTGTTCATGCAGTAAATTAAGCCTGTGGTCAGGAATTCACTATTAGCCATGTTAGATCAATTGGACTACTCCTCCAATTTGTACTCACTAGTATTTGCCTGCTATTGCCATTTCAAACATTTGAGCTTACACCGGTCCTTCAGTCTTAACAGGGAGTTCTGGGATTCAGAACTCTTCTGTGAAATAAACATTTTCACACTGACTATTCCATTGTAAGGCTTTGTTAATGCACAAGGATTCATGGTCTAATAAGTGATGAGAATGATTTTACATTTTTATTCTATAACACATTGTAAAGACCTGCCAGGGAATGAACTAAATTCTGGCCCCACTCTTTGTTCAGGCCTGCAGTTGTTTGGAACTGTAACTTTTCACTGTCAGTATTTTGGATCACTTAGATATAAGTACTCTATGTGCTTAAGGAAATATTGCAGATAAACCACTTCCTTTTTAGAGTCTTATCAGTGTGCTGAATAAGACTATAGACAAAAAATGAAGGGGTTATCTGATTGCAAAGTGGATTCCTATCCTGGTTTGGCAGAAACTAACCAGAGATATAATCATTCATTTCTCATTAGGTCTGTGCCTTCTGATATAACAGCATGTTTGCTTTGATTTTTCAGATTAGAGTGCCGAGTTTTCTTCAGGGCCTTCTCTGCTAAAACAGTTTGCTCTACTGCCACAACACCAGGAAGTGTTTAAGTCATTACACATTTTATTCACATTCACATTTCCTCACATTACACATTTTATTCACATTCACATTTCCTCACATTTTGCCAACTGTTTGACAGTTTCATGTCATATATCCACCTTTACCAAGATAGTTAGTAGTTAAAAATGATTATTACTTTTCACTGTGTAACTGATGCCCTTTGGTTAGTAATATTTGGTAAAAGACTATAAAGTAGTGGAGTAATGATAAGTGCTATTGACATACTGTTCAATTTGCTGTGATGGAGTCCTTGTTCATTAGTCCAAAAAATTAGATTCCTGTCCTTTTACAAAAATATCACCCAGACTCAAATTATTTTGCAGAAAATATTTGCAATGTTTCTGGATGAAAACCTTGGAACCATAAGAACAAGAAAGTTTATATTAAAGCCATCCAATCTATCTAGCCCCTTTGGTATTCTCAGGTGAAGTACCTCATCCACCCATTAGTTGAATCCCTTTGCATACTGTTTTCAGTTTCAAATGCACTTCTGCCAAGTTTCTCCATATTGCAAAGCCATTCATTTTTTGTCCTTAGAAATGTGAGAAAACTAAACAGGTTGTACATGTTTTCAAGCCACTAAGTGTAAGGCAGACTCATAGTCCAAATCCCAGACATTCAGATTTTTAGACTGCATTGAAGAAATCATAAATGATGTCTGGGTTTTCACAAACTTGCAAGAAGTAAGCAGTTCTTGTGAAAGCTGTACTACATTTATTTCGTTTTAAATGTATTTAAGCTGAATTTATTTTTTTACTCACTCTGGGCTTTTTTCTCTTGTGTTATACTGTCTCAGTCTACCCTGATGGACGGGTTTGTATTTCCATCTTACATGCCCCAGGAGATGATCCTATGGGTTATGAGAGCAGTGCTGAGAGGTGGAGTCCAGTCCAGAGCGTGGAAAAGATTCTGCTGTCCGTGGTCAGCATGCTAGCTGGTGAGTTGCTCTTCTTTCTCTGGGGAGAACACTGAGCCCAGGTCAGGGAGCTTTTTATTGTGAAGATGAGCAATATAGTGTAGCTTGAAAACTGTAACAGTCCATTACAGGTCTTTGCTACAAGTGCTGCTTAAGTAAATTTATGAATTAATCAAGAGGGAAATAATTGTCTTACCAGTTTAAAATAAACCCTTATTTGCTAAATGGATAACTCTAAATATTATGTTATGCTAAATGTGTTAGTCTGCCATGAATGACAAACATTTTAATGTTTTCTTTAGAGTTAAACATTGTTGTCACTTATGCTGTAACACTGAATGCAATAATTTTATTTTTTATCACTGTTTTATATGCATTTTAAAGAGCCAAACGATGAGAGTGGAGCCAATGTCGATGCATCAAAGATGTGGCGTGAAGACAGAGACCAGTTCTGCAGAATTGCTCAACAGATTGTACGCAAATCCCTGGGGCTCTAATGCTCCCAATGTCTCCACCTAATGGACCTTTGATGTTATTTCTTTTTTAATTTTCACAAAGAGGACTGGAAATACATTGCTAAAGCAGAAGAGATGGCCCTTTTCTCTCTCTTCCTTGGACTTTGTGCTATGCATTACCAGCTGCTTTCATTTTTGTTGAGGGCCTGTTGTTGGGAACACTGACAATGTGGGTGAAAATCAGTAGATTTGGGTTCCTTCATTTGTCCTGTGTTTTCCCTCTATCATTACATCTTACTTTTCCAACTTCCTTGTTGTTCATAATACAGGAATTAGTATGTATGACAGAATTTGTCTCTTCAACAGTCTATTTGTATGACTACAGTGAGATAATAATTATACAGCATTTAGGTTGTTGTACAAAAGATACTTATGACAAAAGGCTGTAGTCCTACTTAACTGAGAAAAATCTGGAAGAGTACTTTGTATTTACCAGAAAAGCAAGCTTATCTTGCAGTGTGATACTGACTTCTTTTTCTTCCTTTGCAAAAAGGGTTGTACAATGCTTACTGCTCTATAAGGCATAGACTTCAGAAATACCTGTCTCCTTCGACTTTTATTTAAATAGATAATAATTTTGAAACAAGAATTAAACAGATGGCAACATTAAACCGAGCCAAACAAATGAATGTAGTGACCTGTATTTATAGGTTTGTTCTATATGAAAAACACAGACTATAATTTACTACCTTTAACTGTGTAATTCATGTATGCATTTTATTACTCATATTCTAGTTTCTCAACTTGAAGCTTTTCTGTCACATTTCTTCTTGCAGATGTTCTGACTTTATTAGGAAAAATATCTGCAAAGAAAATAAAGGGTGTGACTTTTTTAATGTTTTTTTGGGAGCTTGTCTTTTAGATTTATATTGTAGAATAGAGAATTTACCTATAAAAGCCTGGTTCTGGAAGGGCAGGTCACATAAACAACATTCTGAAGCATAGTTTTTCAATAAATGAAACCTAAACCAATTTGGTAATCAGTATTTTTTTAAAAAGTGTTTTTTCTTCTACTGCGTTAAATTTAATGGGTCTAGGACCATGCTTGACCTTAATGGCTGCTAAAGTACTAGAAAGAAAGCATCCTATCACCATTTGATAGATAACCTGAGGAATACTTATTTTTCAGTGCAGTCGTAAATGCAGTTGAAGAATTTGCTCTATAAGGTCTCTTCCTGTTTCATTGTTCCAGTGCATCCCGAAGGTGTTTTATGGGCCATAATTCAGGGAAGACCATGCTATGTTTCCAGTCCTTTTCTTTCAATCCATTGTTTTACACTCCTGGCTTTGATAGAGCATGTCATTAAGTTGGCATATGTACAGGAGCTCCTTCAATTTGCTAGTACAATAATTTTCCAAAGTACCTTGGTACATGCTTAAATGTTCTGATGGGACAGTGTTAGTGTGTTAGTCAAAACCGTTTCCTGGAGGCCTTCACACCCAGACTCTCCCATTGGATACCATCCATCCAAATGTATCCGGTATTATCACTCCACATGCTGTTTCCGAGTTTCTTTACCCAAGTTACTAAAGATTCCAGAACCCCTGTGTTCATCTCTGTGCTTTTATAAGTGATCAGTGGCTTGGTTTAAAGTGTTCTGTCATAAAATTTTTGTGCATGCAGTTCCCTACGTTCGGTGCAAGCTTGCCCGTCGCTTGCCTGTGACATTGATCAACTAGGCTTTTTAACTTTTTCACATTTCACTGTTTCTCATGCCTGATCTACCATCATTTTGTACTCTTCTGGTCTGGATCCTTCTCACTAAACTGTAAGAGCCATGAATTCTCTTCAGTCCCATGAGCATATGATATCTGAACAAACCATCTTTCCTCACTAAAATGCTTTCTGTTCTAAATTATCTTGCTGGCAGGAATCAGATGCATGAGGTTGCAAATACCTATATATACACCTTTGAACTACAGTCCTTATCCTCTGCATACCTAAAAGTATCTTGTACAATCCATTATTGGCATAGAGAGGCTTGTCCATTACTTTTGGTATTATAGTGTAAATAGGTTACTATATAGCTTTATGTTGGTCATTTCTTGACACACTCCTTGCCAGTAGAATGTAGTAGAAGTATAATGCCATTTTATTTTAGCCTGTGTACAACAAGCATATTAAAGGTCATTTGCATATGCACATAATACTAGTAAGATCACAAGGCTCTTAGAATGTGATTAGGTAATTTTGGATTTAAAGCAATATTTTTTACAGTAACCCAACATTTTAGTACATACACATCATTCATTGGTGTCTTGCTGACTTGATAATTACCATGATATTTGGTGTGATGTTTAAGTGTTTTGAAATGTATAGAAATTGTTGTGTGGATGTTTTTTAACAATGTCTGTATAATCTGAATTTAAAATGGTTTTTGATGGCATGGGGAAAAGACATAGTGGCCTGCAAGAATTTTAGTTTAGTGTATAAGATCATTCACTTTAAAAAAAAAAACTTATATTGTTTTTTGGGTAGGTTAACATTGAAAAGGACTAGACTACACAAAATTTGGCAGTCACGGTCTGTTTTATTTCAGAGATGCAATGCAGATGCAAACAGCGCCTTAGTACGTAAGTGAGCTTAATTAAAGATATACATTACAATCTACGGAAAAGCAAGGCTTTATGTTGTATAATTAATTAAGCTTTTCTATTCATTTTCAGCTGTCCATAAACAGAAGAACTATGCTTTGAATTTAAATATCATAAGCAAATATCATAATTACCACAGTACAACTCAATCAACAAATCCTTTTTAAAATGCAAATAGTATTATGTATGTGATCAATGTGTTAATGATAAAAATTAGACTGACTCTTCTTTGTGCATCAGTCTATTTTATTGTGCAGTTTCACTGTACAGATTACTTTGTGTTCCAAAATGTTAAATACATTGTGTCGGTGATGTAAAGTACTGTAGTTGTGAAAGGTCTAATGCTAATGTAAAAAACAACGCTAGCAACTGTAGTCCAGAACATTAATAATGTAAGGGCCAGGTACTGGATTTTTTGGTAGATTAGTATATTTTCTTCATTCCTAAAATTTGTAATTTTTCAGTCAAGGCTGTTCATAGACACAATCTTTCCTGAGCTTTAGTGGCGGACTGGATGCCTCTCTTGCCATTCAGTGGAGTTGCAGCCCACCCAAATGACAAAAAGAGTGTTTTATGAACTTGGACTGTTCAAATTCTAGAGTAGCCATTTCACTATATGAATAGTAGAAGGTGGCAAATTGCTATGTGTATTTTAGAAATGAAGAATGCTTAACATGACTTCTTAAAGAATCCTTGACTAGGTTGAAGATATATTATCCATTCAGAAATATATAAATACATTTAGCTTCCCTCTGAAAGTAAAGTCACTTCAATATAACAGTCAAGCAGTTAGGTAAAATACATGTATAGTATAAAAGGTATTGTCTCAGACCAATTTGTCATGGAAAAGATAAGAGATCCGTTTGCACATAACAGGACATTTACTGTAAAACATTTGAATTGCCTTATGTTATATAACACCACATTTAAATAGTGTTAAGTAATCTCTGAATTATGAAATGGGACAATCGTGTTAGTAGATGTTTTTTTATAATGCTGCCCAATAAAACAAAAATGTAACAGGGGTCACACAGAAGCTATGCAATCAAGTGGCTATTAAAACAATCCTGCTGCCAGCTGTTTAGAGGAGTACCATTGCTTCCAATAACTTATATACTTTAGAAAACATATATAAGCATGTTCCTTTGAAGTGAGTACTTTGCACATCTAATAATAACTTAAATTTCTGTTACAAACTAAGCAATACTAAATCTTTTATCCCCTTTCTGCAATCATTTTTTATTTCTGTGTAATCGACATTTGAAAGCAGATGTGTTTGAGAAGATTACAAATAAACATATTTATCGCTTCCTATTTTCTAGAGTTCTTGAATCTATGGAACTGTAAGCTGTCTGATTTTACATTTTAGTTCAAGATACAAGAATATAATATTCATAGAACTGTCATCTGCAAATAACTAGAGAATAACAGAATATTTAAATTCTTTGAAAATAGCAAAGATTTTTTTAAAAGCATTTAGCTGTTCAACAGCAATCCAAAATCTTCTACTATTCCATGATGGATATTGATAAAAAAGTTATTTTATTACTGAGAAAGAGTAACCACTGTGTCAAAGCACACAATCCACATCCCAGAACAGTCTTACTTTAAGCTTATGTTAATACACAGGCCCTGCTGGATTCATTTATCAACTTTAAAAGGTTAATATTTTTAAATATTTAGAAGCTTGACGTGATACATAGCTCTTGCAGTGAAAGCTGTCACCAAAATGTGAGTGCCATTATGAAGACTGGACATTTTTCTGCCAAAGTAGATTGCAGTGTCACAGATAGGTATTCAATAGCTTTTCAATGGCCCCACACCTCATATGCTCTGATTATACAGACCAAAAGATTGTGCTTGAGGTTAAAAAAGGAATTTGGGGGAGGGGATGTTGATACCAGCATAGATTCATCAAAAAATAAGATGATGCAAAGACAACAAAGAGAATATGCATTGTTCCCTGCAGCAGAAAGGAAATGTTCTCTCAGGACCCAAGCTTCCACCCCTGGAAGGAGGTAACTCCAGAGACCCTTAGAAAAGAAAAACTGATGTGTTGTGTTGAGCTTTGGGCTGTTTTATCCATTTTCGAGCCAAGGTACTCCTCTTTTATCAAGTTTGCCGTAAGGCTTTTTTCACTTTCCACATATTATCTTTTAAAAACCTCATCAAAGAACTTGTTTTATATTTCTCTTCTATCCTCCTAATTTGGCCCTCTTGAAGTTCTCTTTTGTAGTCAACAGCAGAGTGTTCTACAGACAGTTATTCTTCTCGCACACCCCATTAACATTCTGTTAACTACTCAGTAGTTAGACTTATTGTGTTTGCTGGAATAAATATTTCAGTCTCAAAGGCTGAAAAAAATTGCACATATAGCCCTTCCTTTTCCAGATAGTCTACTTTCCAGATAGCATATTTAAGTAATCTATCGATTTCAAATAGAGGACAAATTCTAGAGTGAGATAAAGGTTTTTGGGGAAAAGAAACACCCATGTGGTTGTTTCAGAAATGATTAATTCTCTTACTAAATCTCATATTGTGTTCCTTTCGTAGTTAGTGTTACTGATTTTTTTTTATAAGTCAGTTCTGAAAAGGCTTACAGTCTAGATGTCCTTTGTCATGCAATACTATTTGAATTTGTCTTTAATAAGCCTTGTATGGTGAGTGTTCTTTTGTCATCTATTCTTAAAAACACTTCATACATTTACCTGTGATTAAATAGGATTTCCTCTGGGTTTTCCTAACCAATAGTAAGGCCCATGTCATTTTCTAGACTTACAGTAGCAGAGCAATATGGAATGAATATGAAAATGTACAGTACAAGCTCATTTTAAATCCATAGCTACAGATCCTCGTGTTATTTGAAATACTGCAATCTAAAATCTAGAATTTCCATCTTGCACATTTTGCAATATATATTTTAAACTTCTGAGAATCCTCTGTTTCACCTTTGAAAATATGTCAACACTCTTAACCTTGCTTGTAGATTGGAAATGATAGGTATAGTCAGGAATCACTTGAAAAGATCCTGTTTCTTGAAGCATTTTTAATGAAGACTCTTCATTCCAGCAGTGTGTTCTCTAACATTCTGAAATTTCTAGGTTTCCCTAGAGATCTGTAGACTAATATACCATGTTTGGTGCTTTTTAAAAATATATATTATTCTGACTGACTAAAGTCATGAGAAAGAAAATGATCTTTGAATTGTTTTGAACGGAAATTGTTGTTTGCAGAATATTTTCATGAATGCAGAAACTGCCTCCCATAATTAGTTGGCTTAAAGATTTAAAGGTGTCATATATAGTTTTTATAGGGACAACTATAATAACTAGAAACGCAAAACTGACAGGTGCATGTACAAAAATCTCAGAATGGCCTGTGATTTCTATGAATAATCGATATAAAATGAAAATATATTAAAATAGTTCAAATATTGTATTACTCTGAAAACAATCACAATGACTTTTTAATAATTCAGTTTTTTACAATATGGAAAGATTTATCTTTAATAAAAGCATTTTTTTTAAAAATGGCATTGGCATAAGTTGCTTGTTTTATTTTAATATAGGTATACATTAATAGTAAGAATGCAGTAAACCAAAAGAACAGTACAGTATGTCAAGTATTGACTAGAACTTTTCTTCTTAACAGAAGGAATTGCTGTCCTGTTCCTTTGTCAAACTACAGGACTCGACATGACTTTTAGTCAGAGAGCATGTCAAACTTAATGACTGCAGTTGCTTAAACTCGCTGCCTTTTCTGTCCTAGAGGGTGTCAAATTATATGACTAGGAATCGCAGGGGGTGACTACACAATTCTCTAGTGACTTTTCATCACAGTTCCAAATCTCACATTGCATCGTGAAAGTACCGCGAAGTCTCCTCATTTTGGCAGCCAATCAACATGGAGCACCGCACGAAAGTAAATGAACAAAAGTTCGACGAGCCTCTCCTCTATTTGCACAGTAAAAAAACATTCGTTTTCCTTCTTTCCTTGCAGCCGCATTGTATACATGTATGTACTTCCGGTTGAGCACTCATTGGCTGTTGACTGTCGCAGACACCAGAACCCACCCCTACGACTTGGGACTCGCTATGAGAAAATCAAACCCATTTGATTTTATCGTAACGAGTCGCGGAGAGTCGTAGGGGCTATTAAGAGTGCTATGGCTGAGCTGCTGGGGGTGTCGCACTATATAACTGTCGGTAACGGGCATGTGCTGCGGCTCTACAACTCACTGTGATTTTTTTTACGATTATGTAAATTAAGGCTAAGATTGAAAATCCTAGGAAAAATCATCTGGTATGACGCCGTCTTAAAATGCCTGTCCTTATAAAATGATCCTGTGATAATCTACTGAATGAATGGAGAGAAGGGTGTACTCATGATTACTTTCAGGATGTTCAAGAAAAAGGGAGGGAAACACTGGAACATACAATTTGCTTAATAATTATGGATTCACTAAGCTGTATTTGTGCCTAGTCATGCAAAGAGGTAGCAATCATATAGAAAGGAGATACCAACTATACATGGTGGAACTTAAAGTACAAATAACATAGGGTCATATAAATTTAATGACACTAGAACCACAATTGGAGTTAGTAAACTAAGTAAACCATAGTTCTATTGCAGACTTACGTTGTTGAGCAGAGGTTTACAAGCTGGTGTGAACAGGCCATGTGTGATGCATTAAGGAGAAACTACCTGACATTTTTAAACTTTGCCAAGCATCTTCTTTATTTTGTGATATTTCTGTAAACTTGAACCTCAATTTTCTCTGGAATATTATTGAAGAAACCATTTAAATTTAATTTACTAAGGATTGTCTATCTTTTTAACACCAGGGATTAATGATTGTAGCAAACATGACTACAGTAAGACAAGAACTAAATTTGGGATAAAGCAGTGTGGATAAGACAGTTCTACAGTACAATTGGATCTACAGTGAGTGGATTTGAAGGTAAATTATTGGTACAGCTGGCATTTCATTTCTTTATGATCCATATGCACAGTGGCTGTAGCTTTGAGTCACTCAAAGGCTTGCTGCCTTTCTTCGTCCAGGAGAAATTAGTTTGGATGCCTAGGACAGCACACAGGTTTTAAAAAGAACTGAACACAGAATTACCTTGCTGTCTCTGTAGTTCGTACTTTAAAATAACATGCCTTCATCACCTGTTTGATTGCTTGACTACTAGCAAATCACAAAATTATGTTTTTTTGAGCAGTCTTGTGGTGACCTTATCTGGTATCACTTGCATATCGCAAACTATAAAATTAAACTGTTATACTAATGTCACTCTTACTATCTCTTAGAAGCTTTCTGATGTCAACAGCAAGAGACAAGTATTTTTGGCATAGAAGGTCAGGTATTTGCTTGGGTTGTTGGGGATGGATTGCTTAGAGCTCTGACCATAATCAATAAGCCTATAAGAATGCAACAGGCAACAGTGTGTAAAATGAAAGTGGTATGGTGGCATCATCCCCAGGGGCTCCAAAGAGCCTTCTATCTCCACAGGTCAAGATACTGGTCAAGATACCCAGAACAGAGAAAACAGATGTTTAAATCTGAGGTTAAAGTACACATCCACATCTGTCATTATACAAATTAAGAAAACTTTTAAGGTAATGTATAAAAGGAGATATTGTACAAATGGGGGGTTATAAAAATTAGAATAAAAGAAAATGACCATGAGGATTAGTCAATAAAAATAAATAATCCTAACCCCCAATTTGTAAGGATTTTGAATACTTTTCACCTGGCACAGCTTTGGTGAAAAGAGTACTAATTCAGGCACACTGGGTTAAACAAATATTTATTAACAATGACAGTGACACACCTCACACAACATTAGCATACAACACAAATTTCCCTATGTACTGTACAAGTTTATAGACAAGGTATTTCAGAGACCTGCATCTAGACCACCCAGAAAACCTCAGATGGCAAATAGGTATTCAACTCTTAAATAATGTCTACAAAGACTAAAAGAAGAGATAAGCTGCCTTCTAAATTAAATAGGATACAACCTACGTTTAAATTTCTCTGTCTGCAAACCTGGATATCACAAAAGAAATGGGAGCCTATCTCCCTATTCTAAAACACATCCCCTAAGCTGGAGAGGCTGTTGTAAACTGAGGGATTGTTCACTCAGGAACTCCTAGTTCCCTAAACCCTACAAAATAGCAATCTCTTTTAGCAAAGGTTCAAACACTTAGCGCCAATCGATCTATTCGGATGATCGCAAACAAGGACCTCTTGCCTGGCACCATCTTTAAGTTCTTTCCCCCCTCTTCTTGTGGTATCTTATGGTCTC